GTGGATATTCTCGAATGAGAAAAGCTGAATTGTTTACCTTACTCGGTTTGGAATACAACAAACCTCAGACTGTTAGAGAACTCAAAGTTCGAGCGAGAAACAGTGGGTTGAGAGGTTATTCTCGAATGAGAAGAGATGAATTGATCGCTTTACTGGAACAAAAAGAATTAATATTTGTACCCACATCCACCGGCGTTGGTAAATATCTAAGAGGTTGGAAGATGGATATTAATTCCAACATGGATGTTAACGATATTAAGCCCATCATATCGAGTAAAATTAACGAGGAATTAGATGATTTACATAGTATAAAATACCAGCTGACGATTAAAATGACATTGAGTAAAAGTAACACAGACGATAGCACCGAATATACCGAACCATATTTCCGTAGCAATCAAGAAGTTTTAACCGAATCCGATGCTATAAACACATCATTAGATACATCAATTCAGAGAATACAGGAAACTTTAGAACGCTGGACTAATAGAGGTTCGGGTTGGGGAGTGGATAAAATCGATAGTTTATATTTAGATATAGCAAATTATATGCCCTTCAAAGGTGGATCTTATATAGATTTACCCCCGTATTATAAGAAGAAAAAAGCCATAATTAACGTAAAAAATAAATCCGATGACTGTTTAAGAATGATGATAAGATCTGCATTGTTCCCCGTAGACAAGCATCCGGATAGACCTTCTAGCTATCCCCCAAACGATGGACTCAACTTCGATGGTATAGACGAACCTACACCAATATCACAAATTGATAAGGTGGAAAAGCAAAATAATTTAGCTATAAATGTTTTTGGACATTCTTCTGAAGGAATTGTTGTACACAGGATAAGCTCCGCTCTGGAAAATATTCCCAGAATCAATTCATTTCTGATCGAAAAAGATGGTAAATATCATTATACGTGGATAAAGAGTTTAAACAGGCTACTATACGATCAAACAAAACATAAAGAAAAGAAATATTTCTGTGAGAGATGCCTACATGGGTACAGCAGACAAGATCTATTAGAAGCGCATAAAGAAGACTGTAGAGGTGTTGGACAGAATGCTATCAGGATCGATATGCCTAAAGAGGGAAAAAATATATTAAAATTTGAACATTATTGTAATCAAATGCCAGTACCGTACGTAATTTACGCCGACTTCGAAGCGCTTATCAAACCCATAGAAAATACTGAACACAATAATCAAGATAGTAGTTTTACGTACAAAACTCAAGAACATATTCCTTGTGGGTTTGGATATATAGTTGTAAGGTATGATGGGAAAACAAACACTCCTGTGATTTACAGAGGTCCCGATGCAGCGGGAAAGTTCCTAGAATATCTACAAAATGAAGAGAGAATAATCAGGGAAAAATTATCGTGTAAGATACCCATGCGTATGGCGAGGGATGATTGGAGTACCCATAAGAAGTCAACGAGTTGTCACGTTTGTAATAAACCCCTGGATGGGGATTCTGTAAGAGATCATTGTCACGTCACTGGTAATTATCGGGGAGCCGCTCATAACGAGTGTAACTTGAAACTAAAAATGAACTCTCAAACAATACCCATCCCCGTTGTGTTTCATAACCTTAGGGGATACGATTCACATCTCATTATGCAAGCTATCTCAAAGACCGACGGCGGTTTAACATGCATTCCTAATAATATGGAAAAATACATATCGTTCTCGTGTAATGGGCTTAGATTCATAGACTCCGTACAATTTCTGTTATCTTCCTTGGACAATTTAGCTAATGCGAACAATCCCGATGACTTCACGATAACAAATAAATATACCGATAAGATAACTCGTCATTTGTTGCTGAGAAAAGGTGTATATCCTTACGAATATATGGATGGTTGGTCTAGATTCGAAGAAACTGAATTACCACCCCTCGAATCATTCTATAGTAACTTAACAGAATCTAGAATAACAGATGCTGATTATGAACACGCTCTGATGGTCTGGGATAAATTAGGTTGTAAGAATTTAGGCGATTATCACGATCTGTACTTAAAAACTGATGTACTGTTACTAGCCGATATATTCGAGATATTTAGAAAGACATGTTTCAAACAATACGGCTTGGACCCGGCATGGTACTATTCCAGTCCAGGACTATCGTGGGATGCATTGTTGAAGAAGACCGGCGTAGAACTAAAACTACTCACAGATTACGATATGCACTTGTTTATTGAGAAAGGATTAAGAGGTGGTATATCGATGACAGCTAAAAGGTATTCTAAGGCTAATAATAAATTAGTGGAAGGATACGATCCCAGTAAACCCAACACACACATATTATATCTCGACGCCAACAATTTGTACGGATGGGCTATGAGTCAACCTTTACCCATGGGTGGTTTTGAATGGGTCGATGATATCCATAATATCGAAGCGAATAAAGGGTACATACTAGAAGTTGACTTGGAATATCCAAGTTCGTTACATAAAGATCATAACAGTTATCCGCTAGCTCCCGAAAGATTAATGGTTAATAAAGATTGGATGTCGGAATATCAACGCTCCTTGATGGGTAATAGTAGGTTAGCTAACGTAGAAAAACTCATACCAAATTTGATGGATAAAACAAAATATATAGTTCACTACAGAAATCTCCAGTTGTATCTATCGTTAGGTATGAAACTTAAGAAAATACACAGAGTTCTAAAGTTTGATCAAAGCCCTTGGATGGAGCCCTATATAAGGTTGAACACAGATTTAAGAAAGATAGCTACCAGCGATTTCGAAAAGGATCTGTATAAGCTCATGAATAACTCGGTATTTGGTAAAACTATGGAGAATCTAAGGAAGCGTGTTGATGTTAAATTAGTCAGATCTAATGAGGAAGAAAGACTCAGGAAACTTATAGCCAGCCCGGCTTTTAACAGAAGCAAGATATTCGATAACGACTTAGCCGCGTTGCATATGCAGAAGAGTAATATAAAATTTAACAGACCGGTGTACGTTGGTATGAGTATTCTGGACTTGTCAAAACACTTAATGTATGACTTTTATTACAACGAACTTAAGAAGCAATACAGCGATAGATGTGAGGTGTTATATACCGACACAGATTCTTTGTTGTTGGAAATACAAACCGAGGATGTGTATAAAGATATGGCAGAAAAAATAGATATGTACGACACGAGCGATTACCCAAAAGATAATCCACTGCACAGCGTTGTAAATAAAAAGGTGTTAGGTAAGATGAAGGATGAATGTGCTGGGACCCCTATAGTGGAGTATGTGGGATTAAGACCTAAGATGTATTCTATAAAGAAGTCTGATAATGGAGAGATAAGAAAAGCTAAGGGTGTTAAGAAGTATGTTGTAAAAAAGCATATCAAACACGAACAGTATAAAGAATCATTATTTAACGGTAGAAAGTTCAAACATGAGATGAACTCTTTAAGAAGTTACAATCATAGGATATATGGATTAAGAATGAACAAGACATCATTATCCCCCTTAGATACAAAGAGATGGATTGATAATGATGGTGTAAATACCTATGCTTATGGTTATGGTGGTAATACTGTACCGTCGGGAACTATGAACAACTCTTCTCGTACAAATGCCCTACCCGGTCCATCTTGAAGATAATAAAGAATAGGCTCTCCTTCTTTCATAACCAATCGACTAATGTTATACATCTTAAGGGACCATATGGGATCGGTTGCGCGACGTAGGCCTCCTTCGAGTTCACCGGCCTGGTATAAATATCTTACCCTTACTCTATCCGGAAGTTTTCGTTCTTTACCTCTCCTCGGTGCTGAAGATTTGGAAGTCACGGATTTCATTTTAATAGCATCGGATGGTTTCTTCCCTATTAATCTCGTTACTTCATTATTCAGCGCTGATACAACGGCTGATAATCGTGTCACCCATTCGGTTGATCTCAATCGCTCGGATTTCATTTCGATCCCATACTGATAGCCAAACAAACGTTCCGCTAATGTCCTGTTAAATCTTTCGACGATAGCTTGACTGCGGTGGGCCTCTCTTTCACCACGGACGATTTTGACATCGTTCTTTGTTAACAGTTTAGTTACCGATCCCATAAACTCGCGACCGGGATCTACTTGAAATATCTTAGGCCATTTTAGCGGTCCGCGTTTATATATGCGACTCAGTGCATTAGCTACCTCTGTTGATTCTTTCGATGTTAATGGCTCAGCCTCTTTGTATCGACTAGCCACATCCACTACTGTTAAAGCGTATTTATACGTTTTGCGTTTTACCTTATCGTGGGGAAGAAACAAGAGGTCAGCCTGATGAACTTCATTCGTTGTAAAAATATCAAACTTCTTCCTCGGTATATAACGCGGTGCCGGTAAATATATTTGCCACATCGCTTGTTTCTTTAACCAATCCTTGGCCACATCTTTAGATACCTTAGCCGCGGTGGCTAATTTTTTTATTGCTCCTACACCTTTCCAATATCCTTGTGGGCTATAGTAAATTTTATCCATTATTAATTAATATTGATATTTCGTTTAATACAAATCTGGCTCCAGTGGAAGTGAGCCAGAACCCTTATTACCTATTAAAATTTATATCATTGGCCCCAGGTGGTGGTGAACTGGAGCCAATTTAACTTAATCTCATGACTATCATTAAATCACATAATTCATTTTGACATAAAAAATTCCATCTGTAGTAGCAGTATAGGTATATAAATCCAGCTTCAGTGGAAGTGGTCCAGAACCCCCATTACCTATACTACTTCTGGGCGTTTCAGCTTCACGTGGGAGGAATACAGTAACGACAGAAGGTCGTAAACGTTGACGACGTCGGTGAAACCCACAGCACGGGAACGGTATTAACAAAGTCAACTGGAGATTGGATAAAAAATCCAGATGACTAAAGGTCACAATTCTGCGTAAAGAATTGCGGCGTCCGTGTTCTTGAAACTGGAGAGATATTTGATATTTTATTATAATGTAACATTGCTAACAAAGGCTTTACGCAAGTTGCCTCAACCTTTGTCCTTTCCTGTCTTACTGGAGCCGGAAGCAGTTGGTAGCAGGACAGATCTGGTCACGTGACAGCACGGTCGCCGGAAGTTGGCAAATCTCCGACGTTCAAAGATCCGTGGCGACTTGAGGTGACATTGAGTAACGATCTGGTTGTCGGGTCCTCTCTGTTCGCAGACAAACACTCGGGGCCTGCCGTTACATTCAGGGGGGACGTACACGACGACCGTGTCTCCTACCAGTATGTTCAGGGGGAGTTTGTCACCCATGCATACATGTACAACGTTATTGTTCCCCAGCTGCACAATTGGTGCAGAAGTTGTAGAAATTGCTCTACTTAAGTCATTCATATCTTTCTCTTTACAAAAAGAAATGGTGTTTTTCTTGTGCCCAATTTGCACAATGCGTCGAATTGTGATTCCAGTGTGATCAACTGGGCGCTCATTGCAGCTGACGTCACACGCCCCCCGTGTGTCAGGCATAACCCCGAGTGTGAACAGATCCCTGGGTCGAATGTCACCTCTTGCCTCTGTCTCAATGATGTCTGTGATAAAGTGAAGAAAGAATATTAGTATTAAGAACGAGATAAAGGAGTAAAGATAAACTTCATTCCATGATCCATAGGTCATTTGTCACTAGACCGCCTTCGTGGTCTAATGGTAGAGCGTCCGTCCGGAGAGAGGAAGGTCCGGGGTTCGATCCCCAGCCGCGTCAAACAAAAAGACGTTAAAAGATGATGTTACCCTGTCTGGCGCTCGGCATTAAGGGGCTAAAACAAGGACTGGTCGGCTCGGAGTCAGTATACTGTGTCTGAGTGGGGTATTTATGTTAAACTGCGGCATGGTATCTCAGTGTGCTAGCACTACAAATCGGCATCAGTCAGGACTAGTACAAGTAGCCACACACACATACACGTCGCTTTATAAGTGCAATAATCTTGGACGTGACGTTAAACCCAGTTTCACCTCACCTCATTTGTCACTAAATGTGGTGACCATAGATACAGTTTTTTGTTCAAAATGTAGTGAGTGAGTGAGCAGTGTAACAGTTATATCTCGGCGGGAGGAAAGACCAAAGTGATGCAGGTCTCAGACGTTTACCACTTTGGTGAAACCCATGAGCAGGGGTATGGTGCTGACAAACCTAGAAACATAATCATGGCGAACCGGGCGACAGTCATGCGTTTCTGACGTACCCAAGGGGCGCAACTCTGCACAAATCCCTTGTACGCCGACACGAATAAGTCAGGCTGCACAGGTTTTCTGAGCCAGAGTCTATCCTTTTAACCCGCTTCGAAGAAAAAGGCCTCCCACTGTTTCCGATTAAATGAGAGTCACGTGACACAGAGCAAGCTAACCTAAATCGCACAGCTGTTTTCAATCAATTTTGAATTTGTTTTATTCTTTTACAATCTTAAATTTAAACATGTCTCCCGCTTAGACATTTATTTCTCTCCATGGCGAGATACAGAGTATTTTATCAAGATCACGTGACTGGAGTGGTTTAGGTGAATTAATACATAAACAAACAGAGGCCCTGTGAAAATAAATACACAGAGTTAAAATATGCACAATACCTACACATACAAATAAATCATTACATTATAACTTATTAACAAATATTAGAATCTTATATATGATCATATACATTGTTATGATCCATCGTAATTAGCATGAGTATTTAAGCAAATTTTGCCTAACTACATTTACCTGAATATGATGGCTGATATGATATATATTTATCACACCTAACAATATAAGTATTATTAAAAGAAGTTACAAAGAAACACTTCAAAGCACTTAATAAGAACACAAAAACATACAATTCAAACAAACCAACCTGTGACAATTGACTTAATTATTTCAGCGATGAACCGATACTTGTCGCCATAAATAGTCAAATACAAGTGTGAAGTTATAACAAAGGAAGATAAAACAAACTGTGATCCCTTGAACGTCCCTATAACGTTGGTGGAAGTAGAGAAGGCAATAGCACGCGCTAAATCCAGAAAGGCGGCGGGTATTGATAATCTTCCTGTTGAGTGTCTGAAAAACCCTGTCTGCGTTGACATATTGTTTAAAATAATGACCCATTGTTTTAATAATGGTGTAGTACCTGATGCATGGCAACAGAGTATCATTAATCCTATTGCTAAATCTGACACCGATGTTCACAATCCTCTGTCATACAGGGGTATCTCTCTTATTTCAGTACCCTGTAAAATATATTGTGACATTCTAAATGCCAGATTGAGTGAGTGGTGCGAAAGAAATAATATTTTAGCTGAGGAGCAAAATGGCTTCAGAAAAAAGGAGCTGTTTGGATCACCTCTACAGCATTTGTACAATAATCAAAAATAGAAAACAATCAAAATTATCAACATTTTGCTGTTTTATTGACATGAAAAAGGCGTTCGGTAATGTAAACAGAGATTGTTTATGGTTTAAAATATTAAAAAAAGGCATAAACGGAAAAATGTTTGAAGCTGTTAAAAGTTTATATAGCAATGTGAAGTGCACTGTGAGAGTAAATGGTCTGTTTTCACCCTGGTTTAAGGCCCCACGGGGACTAAAGCAAGGATGCCTTGTCTCTCCATTATTGTTCTCTATTTACAATTAACGACCTGGCGGCCAATATAAAAAGCATGATCTGTGGTGTTGACATAAATGATTTAAATATTGGTATTATGTTATATGCTGATGATATTTTATTATTGGCGCCCACGGAGGACAAACTGCAAAATATGTTAAACGTGGTCAATGAATGGTGTCAAAAGTGGAGACTTACAGTTAATCCTACAAAAACTAAGATTGTTCATTTTAGGCCTACCAATACAAATTGCTCCACAACCAACTTCTCAATTGGAGAAACTCTTTTGAAGTATAGTAATAATTATTAATACCTTGGTTTGTGGCTTAACGAACACATGGACTTTAAGTTCACAATAAATGAACTGGCTAAATCGGCAAGTCGAGCTTTTGGTGTTTTATGTACAAAATATTTTGATGCTGGTGGTTTTACTTATGCAATTTACACTAAATTGTATGAATCCTTGGTTCAGGCTATTATGCAATATGGTGCTTCCATCTGGGGATTGTATGAACAAAAAAAGTTAAACACTCTGCAAAACAAAGCATGTAAATTTCTTCTTGGCCTTAGACGTAATGCGTCAAATGTCGCCGCCAGGGGAGACATGGGTTGGAAATCATGTGTCACTAAGCAACGCATAGAAGTATTTCGCTTATTCTTCCGCCTTAACAGTATGGGAATTACAAGATTGCCCCGTGTCATTCATGCTTGGTCAAGTAAAAGAGGGCGCTCATGGGAAAAGGAGGTTTACAAGCTAGCTAGAAACTTAAACGTCGTCGACTTGATCGATGTCCATTCGATGACACGTGGCCAGTTCACTCTCATTAAGCAAAAATTATTTCAAGTGGATGAAACTGCCTGGTTTTCAGAGCTGTGGAATGATGCTAATAACCCTAATGGTAATAAGTTGAGGACCTATAGATTGCTTAAGAAGGATCTAGCGCCTGAGCCCTATGTCTTATCAAACTATATCCATAGAAACACCAGAAAATATTTGGCACTTTTACGCAGTGGCAGCCTCCCCATATAATCTACGTATGTTATATGTGAACGTGTGTGCGTAGTGCGTGTGTGTGTGTGTGTGTGGGGGGGGGGGGCGTGAGAGCGTGTGTGTGTGTGTGTGTGTGGGGGGGGTTATAGTGTACGTAGGGTATGTATGTGGGAGTGCGTGTGTTTGTGTGTGCGTGTGTGTGTGCATGGTATGGTGTGTGTGTGTGTGTGTGGGGGGGGGGTGGGGGGGGGGGGGGGGGGTGGGGTGTACCTACGTGTTTGTGTATGATCGTGTGCGTGACTTTATAAGTAATTTGAATTGGCGTGTGAGTGTGAGTGTGCGTGCGTGCGTGCGTGCGTGTTCATAACCCAACCTTAATTTTAAACATTGTGTTAGTATATGTCTTATTTTACCTTACCCAGATCATGACGATATAATTTGCTTTTATGTCTAGTGTCTCGTAGGCCATACCTGGTCGGATGTTATATTTTACTGTTCATGTACGTGTTTTAGTATGAAGTGTATATAACATGTGACACCATAATAAACATTATTCTCTCTCTCTCTCTCTCTGTGAATTTAAACTGACCAGTCCCATAATGCACCCTGTCACTGAAAGTAAGGGGCTGGGGCTAGACAATAGAGACCAGAGAAACAATAGAGAAGGCAAGCGCATGGGTGACTGTGCTATTGTATTAGTGAAGCAGGTTAGATTGGAGGGTAGACTAAAACTTAGGTATTAAAATAAAAGGTGAGCTTAAAATACACTTGATGATATGTACATAATTACATACTACTAGACCCGTGAAGATTCCGGGGTAGAATAGGTCTTCAGCAACCCATGCTTGCCGTAAAAGGTGACTATGCTTGTCGTAAAAGGCGACTAGCGGGATCGGGTGGTCAGGCTCGCTGACTTGGTTGATGCATGTCATCGATCCCAATTGCGTGGATCGATGTTCATGATGTAAATCACTGGATTTTCTGGTCCAGACTCGATTATTTACAGACCGCCGTCATATCGCTGGAATATTGCTGAGTGCGGCGTTAAACAACAAACCAACCAACCAACCAACATACTACTACATTATGCTGAGTCACCACTGCGCCGGAGTGTGCTAAATTATCTAACCCAGGTCACCGGCTGCTGTTACTGCAGCGCTTGCAGTGGGCCAATGGATTCATGATAATGAGATCATGCAGAGACCCTGTATACAGGAGCATAAATGAGTGGCTGAATCGAGCTGACTATTGGCAGCGTTCGAAATACCTGCCTGCCCGACCGTCCGAGACGGGTTGATTTCAACTCGGGCTGACAGATTTTCAAATCCCACTGCCCGACGGTCGGGTTATATTTTATATGTTAAAATATTCAAAATATTTCCCGATGTTAAGCATTAATTCACATGTAAAGATGAATGATAAAATGTAACCAAAAAGAAACCCCGTTAGCTTATCCAGAGAAACATATGATTATAGTGGGCAGGCAGGTTTTGGTCAGGGCTGGCAAGTATTTCAGCTAGCCAGTCCTGTGGTCTGGCTGAAATGTTTGGGAGTTTCATACCCTGCTATTGATTAACTCGCGTAGAAGAATCCGAAATTCTCACGTTCACATAGCACACACGCCCATGATATGAGGCTTAATACTTCAGTGAAAAGCTTGGTCTCTCTTACAGGCCTCATAGAATATATTTCATAAAACGACCATTCCACGTCCCCTTTTCAGCTCTACATGAAGAACCGAGGGATGTTCATGGGTTTCATTGTTGAATTATATTTATTCAACCTTCATTGCGGCGACTGTCAATTTGTCTTGGACAAGCTGGTTGCAGAGTTGTGTCTTCAAGCAAGCACCAAATAAAGAAAGAAAAGAATCTAACGCCTACCTGTCCTGGCTACCACAGTACCGAATCGAAATAGCATCAGCAGCCTTCGCAATGGAAACCCTACCCCACCGCGTGGCAGCTCTTATATACTGCCCGATTTCCCAGCAACACAATCATTAACCAATCGGCTACGTGCATCTTTGCCAGGCAAGCCTGGATAACGTCACGTGATAATGTTGACCTCAGTCACGTGGTTGTTTTTGCTTATGGTTGTAAGGGGGCCGACCCGATGACATATATTATGATGGCTGACGTGACATCATTTAGTTATAAACATGTATTCAGTCGGCAGAACTCTGTGACATTAACTAAATAAGTGTAAATCGATGTAGGTAAAATGAGCGGACATGTGTTGAACACAGAAGCGTGGATTCCAACACCCACTGAAGGCAGACGGCATTCTACTTAAGTTGTCTTGAACTCTTGAGTGAGTGTGTGAGTTGAGTTTAACGCCGCTTTTAACAGTATTCCAGTTATATCACGACATGTCAGCTTAATGTGGGAGGAGAGCCCGAAGTGATGCAGGTCTCAGACGTTTACCACTTAGGTGAAACCCACGAGCACGGGTATGGTGCTGACAAACCTAGAAACATAATCGGGGCGAACCGGAATTCGAACCCACAATCATAGATTTCTGGCGTGCCTAAGGGACGCACCTCTGCTCAGCGAATCGCGGCGCCTTAGACGACTGGGCCACCCGTGCCCCCCTTGAACTCTTGAGTCATATAAATCAGTGCGCACAGCTTGCACAGTTAGACTGGGCTTTTCACATGAAAGGCATGTCTATGCGTGCTCATAAGCTCAGGGCTAAATATACCAGCGGAAAAAGTAACTATGCTTAAGATACAGTTCAATAAAAAATAAATTAAATTATGCATCTCTCAAAACATATTCATGAAGACATCTCATCAACTTTAAGGTCGTGATTCACAATTTGCATACAATGATTGTTTAGCTATCATGTGCTCGTAAAACACTTTTGTTTAACCGTAAATGACGTTTGCTCAGTGCCATGGCTTGCTGAAAATTACCGCACCGTGGTTATGCTGCAAACAGGAATGACGCAAAACGAAACTGCCAGACATTTTAATGTTAATCGAAAAACAATATAATATCATTGGCGACCTTATGAACAGAAGGGCAACACTCATAACATGGCACGGGCTGGTCGTCCACGTATGACGTCGCGTTAACAAGACAACCATATTCGGTTGGTGCATCAAAGGAATCGAAACCAAACTGCCACATTAACAGCTCGGTCAATTCCTGGGTTGAGACCAGGTAGTGACAGAACTGGACGCAACCGGTTGAGGGGGCACAACATCTACTTCCACGTCACCGGCGAAGACAACATTTGAGAGTTAGAAGACAATACTCTAACAGTATACTGTTGACGGTTCATCTGGACACCTCTAATGGTGGTGAGGGGTCTTCATTCATTCTCAAGGGAGAATACGGCTCATCATTGTTAACGGCAATTTGAATGGCGTGCGCTACCCTGTCGACTTTGTTCGAGATCATGTTCTTCCACTTGTTCAAATGTATGGACGTAACGTCACTTTGCTGCAGGATAATACCCATTCACATGTTGCACCTGTTGTAACAGGCATTTTGAGGCATACATTGCTGTACCGCCATGGCCGGTGTTGGATTCTGATCAATTGTTTGGGTTCATTATATTTTTAAGCGGTCTTCATTTAAGTTGTAAAGGGAAGTAACTTTTTTGTTGTTTTTGGTATCGCTATGTGCAAGAGACTGTGCTATGATCGGGGAACCGTAGAGGTTATTAAACGGTAATTATGTAATTAAATACAAAACTTCAGTAACAGAGAAGTAGGACAGTATTAATGTGACCGTTTATTTTCATATTTGCGTCTAAATATTAGTATATTCATAGACGTTTCTGCATTATGTTGCAGTCAATAAAGCCAACAGCGCTACCTTAGTATTTCGTGGCAACGGCACCCTTCAACTAGAACAATAATCTGTTAGAATATGAAACTAAGAATTAGAATAAATAATGAAGTTGAAGAATGATTTGACGTCCTCAATTCTCGAAACCCACATAAATTGACGTTCTAGCCATGTGGTTATCTACAGTTCGACCTCGCCACGCCAGTCATTAGTAGACAACGTGCGTCTCGCGCGAGCAGCCGTAGGTACAGTCTGACCAAACTAACTTGTATTGTGTTTGGACTTCTCAGATTTAACACAAACAGATTTAGAATGGCATTTGAGTGCTCATACTATGGAAACTGAGGCAGAAAAACGGCAAAAACAATGACATCAAAAGGATTGATGTATTCACTAGACATTAAGAAGAAATTAATTCGTTCTCTGTGCAAAAAGTTGTTTGTAGTTGGAAACACTGTCGACAGAATCTTGGAATCAGATGAACCGGTTGCATTTGAAGAGGTTCGCAAGACTTATGTGAACTGGTTAACCATTTTTGAGGATATTCTGACAGAAAGAGCTAATTATTCTGCACTTGTGCTGTCACGTTTGGATGTTCCACAGGAATATTTCGATGACTTGTCTATGCTTGACGCTGAAATAGATGGTTTTCAGAATTTTAGGGTAAATATTTCTGAATGGATGCAGAATAAAGAACTTGAACGAAGACAGCAATCAAAAATGGATGATTATGCATCAGAATTGTCAAAGGGTAGTATCAGATCTCGCAGATCATCATCTTCTATTTCACACGTGTCTTCTGTACGCCTGAAAGAAGAGCAGAAGCAGGATGAATTAATAGTCAAAGCTGCTGCATTAAAAAAGAAGCATGAATTAGAGGTGGAAAAAGTGAGGTTGAAAATGGAGGAAGAAGAGCTGGACATAAAGACGGAGATGGCTATTTCAGATGCAAGATGGAAGGTACTAGATGAGTACGATTTTGAAAATGAACAAAGCAGCAGACAAGGTACTGGTTTGGGTAAACAAAACACTCGACAACCAATGGATTTTGGTGACAGGCATCCTTTGGTTAGTGACACTCACAGTGTTGCAGTTTCAAGGTTTACCCGTGACAGGGAAAATGAAAATGAGTCACTTCCTGAAATGAAATATTATACACCAACAGAAACACCTGTAAATTTTCCAACTCAACAGATGACACAAGATCCCTTGGGCATGAGCAATACATCTGATAGTGCAATTGCTACAGTAATTCGACAGTTGAGGAAACCAGTTACAGATCTCATGGTGTTCAGTGGTAATCCGTTGGAGTATCGAAAGTTTATGCGACAATTCAAGACCAAGATACTTGTGAACACTGATGATTTTGATGAACGTCTAAACTATTTGGAACAGTTCACATCTGGAGAAGTTCGCAACATAGTGAGTAGCTATGGTTATTTAGATGCGGAACAAGGGTATCCTGCCGCAATCAAAGAGCTTCAGCAGAGATATGGAGACGAAGATGTGATAGTGAATGCTTTTATTCAAAAGGCATTAGAATGGCCCTACATCAGAGCAGACAATTCAAAAGCACTGGATGAATACGCTGTATTCTTGTCTGAATGTGAAAACGCTGTTAAAAGCAACCTTCTTGATAATACAGAAAACATCCGGAGATTGATTACTAAGCTACCCTATCATTACCAAGAAGGATTCAGAAATAGGATCCAAAGCATCCGTGCTTCAGGAAAAAGTGTAAAATTTTCAGATCTTGTACAGTTTGTTCGGAAGGAATCATGGAAAGTGAATGACCCAATGTTTGGCAAAGATGCATTGCAGAACAAGGACAAACATGGAAATACTAGCAAGGCTACTTTGAAAACAAGGAGCCAACTTTCACGAACAAAATTGACTTTGGCAACAGAAGTGAATACCCCTCAAAGTTCACAGGTTCCAAGATCACCAGCATCACCTCACTCAGACAAGTAAGAAACAAACAGGTCAGCCACAGCCTGCAGATAGGAAGTGTTTATGTTGTGAATCAAACCAGCATTTTGTGAGTGAATGTGAAAAATTCACTGCTCTGTCGTTCGACAAAATAGTGAACTTTATCCGAAGTAAAAGACTTTGTTTTCGATGCCTCAGAAAAGGACATCTTAGCAAGGATTGCAGAAGTAATATCACATGTACAAAATGCCAGCGTCGACATAATGCACTGCTTCATCGTGAAGAACCTCAAGTGATTCAACATTATACGATACAGACAAGTTCTTGCCTTAGTTCCGATATGGGGGTCGGACTAGAAACAGATGGCACGTGCACTATGGTGATTATGCCTGTGAAGGTTCTGATGAAAGGTGGGTTACGAGCCATATAGACTTATGCTTTTTTAGACCCTGGCATATGAATATACCGGCTTCATGAATAAAATGTTGGAGAAGGGCTATGCTGAACACATTCCAGATGATGAACCAGAACCAGATGATGGACTTGTGTGGTACATCCCCCACTATGGGGTGTACCACCCAAAGAAGATGAAGTTGCGGGTTGTGTTTAACTTTGCAGCCACTTACAATGGTACTTCACTCAATCAACAGTTACTATCCGGACCTGATCTGACAAATAACCTCATAGGTGTTCTGGTGAGATTTCGACAAGAGAATGTAGCTGCCAAGGGAGACATAGAGAGTATGTTTTACCAAGTTTGGGTAACAAAGGCTCATTGGAACTATCAGCGGTTTCTCTGGTGGCAAGACGGGGACTACGGAAATTCACCATTGAAGTACAGGATGAAAGTCCACATGTTTGGAACTACATCGTCACCTAGTTGTGCAAATGCAGCCATCTTGAAGACCGCTAGTGACAATGAAGAAAAGTATGAACCAAAGATTGCAGAAATTGTAAGGAACAATTTCTATGTGGACGATTGCTTGTTTTCTGAGCAAGATGTAACCAAGACTGTTAGTTGTGTGACCCAGGTAAGTTCTCTGTGTCAGCAGGGTGGATTTAGACTTACTAAATGGGTTAGCAACAGTGCAGAAGTTCTCGACAAAATTCTGCCTGAAGACCGAGCTGAAGGAGTGAAAGATCTCAATCTGGATCAGCTAGAAACTGGATCAGAGGAAAGAGCCCTTGGAGTTGTTTGGAC